ATATTAATTTGCTGCTACTAAATTAAAACCAAATTTATAAGATCATTACTTTGTTTAGCTTGATTAGCTTTAATATTCTATGTCTTACTTTCTAAGCTCTGTTTACCTTCAAAGCTACGAAATATGAAATTTTAGAATAATATTAGCGATCATTTTATTGAAAAGGTATAAAATAAAAACAAAAAAAAAAAACTTTAAACGTACTAAAAATAATTAGTATAACGATATCCTTGATATAGCTGTGCGACTTCATTAGTAAAATGACATGCAAAAAGTAGCATATTGCGGGGTTGCACTTTCCAAGCAAAACGCATGAAAGTAGCAGAATATATGCACATTGCTGTAAAATAAACGGATAAATAAAAAGTAACCGAGTTATATTATTAAAGAATAATTAGAATAGAATCGTAGCCATTTACCTGTTGTCATTTTAGGAGATATAATATCTGGATCTTTTTTAGCATCAGCAATTGCGGCCAAAGGTAGACCCCAATTAGCAACTATATTTTATAGATCATTGACAGTATAGTTAGCAAACTGATTTAGGTAGACGAATATTCGAATAACACAAACCTGGTCCCCAAAAATGCTAATTAACATACACATACAGAAGTGTATTAAATAAGTCAAAAATATTTCAATAAATCGACGTTAATAAGAAAAAAAATAATAAAAATACCGTGCTAAACGTTGAGAAAGAACTTTAATCAAACCTTTTCTGTTTCAAAAATAAAAGAAAAAAGAATTCCGTTAAATATACCTCATAAGATATTGCCGAAAGTCCGGACTTTTTATGTACTGAACTAGTGAAGCAAGAGACATCTTTCTTATTTGTTATAACTTTTATTTATTTAATATTTAGTTTTATTTATATAATTACTTCGAAGGTTGTAAACGAAAATAAAGGTTAACATCCATACTGTTGAAAATGGTGCCGGTTACAGTATGGACCATTATACGATTGGCTACCCTGAGTTGAGCTAGCATGTGAATTTCAATACGTATTACATAGAAGCTACGTAAGTCGTAAACTTTTGCCTTTACGTTTTTGTACATACATTAAAAATACTTACCTATTATGGAATGTATATCAATACGTATTGTCAATGAAATTTTGTGTTATTTGTGTTAGGGAAAGTGCGTGTCACAGAAATAAATACTGAAATAGATATAGACATGTCAAGAATTATAACATAAAGAATTATAGCATGTCGAGAATAGATTATTTACTAACATTAAGGATATTTGCAGAAAGTAACTTAAAAAATTACAGTTTATTATTAATATTTAAATAGTCAAATATTAGCAATTATAATGTATGTGGACTTTTGGCAAAAGTTATGTGAATAGATAAAATATTTTGACACTTAGAATAATTTACAATGCTACAAATCAAAGAGTAACTACCTCAGTTACTGCTATATGTATGTTATTTCATGCTCTAATGCTTGCATCTTCAATGCGTGCAGTAAAAGTTGTTAAATAAAATGTTGTTAATTTAATCATTATTCTAAAGATTCAACTCGCGTATTTGTTCTTTCAAAATATATACAATTGTTTTATTACATGAATTAATTATTGACATTAAATTTACGTATCATAGTTCACATCCTCCAATTCTACTAGAACCTGTTCCGCAGCCACTGCATCACCTGGTTTAACGTTAACCTTTTTTACTTTACTTACACGTGAAGCACGTAATATGTTTTGCATTTTCATGGCTTCTACTACAGCAACTTCGGTTCCTTCAGCAATCTGTAAATTATAATTGTAAATAAATTTGAAATGTTTTGAATTTTTTGTATATTTTATAACAGTACTTACCACATCGCCAACTTTAACGGCTACGCTCACAACGCTACCAGGCATAGGACTCAATATCACCTTGGACAAATCTTGCTTTGGTTTTTCGATCATATATTGACTCAACTCATGCTGTCGTTGTGTGTGGACTGTGATGTCAAATTTTGTACCTGCATATTGTAATCGGAAACCAATCGGTAAAGGATCAACATATTGTGTAATTAGCGTTTTGCTTTCCTGATTATCAATACGGAGACATGCATTAATCAGTGGTGATTCTAATGGCCATTTAGCTGATATTATAGTTTTTGGATAGTTTGGTATTAGGATCTATATCATATGTGGAAACGTCGTTAAATAACATTTTTAACAATAATTGATCATGTTAACTTCAATCATACCTCAAATTCTTCTTCGTTCATGCTTTTTTTCTCCACTTTTACGTTGATGGGTTCAATATCCTTATTTTTATTAATTGTTATCCAAAGATCCCATTTACTTGGTGCGTTTTTATTTGAAGTTTCTTTTTCACCAATCCAACTCCAATTTCTCAAATCACGTTTAGCATGAACAAACGCAGAAACAGAGATAAGTTCATGTAGAGATTCATCCTTGAGAGCATGACCCTTGAATCCACCTGGATATTCTTCCGCAAGAAATTTTGTGGATATTTTACCAGATCGAAATCTTTGGCTTGAAATAACTTCGCGGAGTAATGGAATATTATGAGTAACGCCTAACATATACATGTAAAATAAGATGATCATTTTATCGTCTACACTAAATATATCGTATGCACATTATTAAAACGTTGTTTCTAACCTTTAATAACATAAGAATCTAAAGCTTTTAGCATAATACTAATGGCTTCATCCCTTGTTTCTCCGTAAGTAGAAAGTTTGCAAATCAGAGGATCATAATATATACTGATTTCGCTCCCTTCTACAATACCAGAATCACAACGGACTTCATGTTTATCAGTTGAGCTTTGTGGTTCTATGTATTTACTAAGACGCCCGATAGATGGTAAGTATTTTTCTGAATCCTCTGCATATACACGTGATTCAAACGCCCATCCGTGAAATTTAATATCCTCCTGAGTCACTGGCAATTTTTGGTCCGCTGCTATACGAATCATTTGTTCAACTAGATCAAACCCTGTAATATATTCGGTGATAGGATGTTCAACTTGAAGGCGCGTATTCATTTCCAAGAAATAAAAATTGCGCTGAGGATCCACCAAAAATTCAACTGTTCCAGCTGATACATAGCCGACGTGTTTAGCAAGTGAAGCAGCCTGTTCTCCCATCGCTTTACGTGTTGCTGGATCCAGAAAAGTACTTGGTGCTTCTTCAATAACCTATTTAAGAAAATCATATTAAGAAAAATATTTCTAATATTATACATAGCAAAGGAAGGTTTATATACTTTTTGATTTCTTCTTTGAATCGAACATTCTCGTTCAGGAAAATATAATACATTTCCAAATTTATCTGCGAGAACTTGAATCTCAATATGACGTGGATTATCGACATATCTCTCAATTAATAAACGGTTGTCTCCAAAACTTGATAATGATTCCTGTGATGCAATTTTGAAACCATCAACAACTTCTTGATCGTTCCTTATTGCCATAAATTTCATCGTTAATTAATGTAATATATTGTAAACAACCAAGTTATTGGAACTGAAACTTGTACTCACCATGCAATGCGCATACCCTTTCCACCTCCTCCCGCAGAAGCCTTCAACATTATAGGATAACCAATCGATTGTGCTAAATAAAAAAACATTTGAAATTAATCAACTGTACTCAATATATATATATATATTTATTTATTTATTTATTTATTTACCGATTTCTAAAGCATGTTCACTATCTCTTACGACACCATCAAAACCGGGGATAGTATTAACGCCAGATTGTTTAGCTATAATTTTGCTTCGAATCTTATCACCTAAATCTGCCATTGCTGATTCTCCTGGTCCTATAAACGCGATTCCTGCTTCGTTAAGCGATTTCACAAAATGCGAGTTTTCCGACAAAAAGCCGTAACCTACAGGCAATTAATGTCATTAATCACTTGAAGGATCATGATATTAATTCATCTATAATCATACCTGGATGTACAGCTTGTGCTCCAGTTGATTTGATCGCATGGAGAATATTGGGAATATTGAGATAACTTTGATTTGATGGTGAAGGTCCCTAAATGGTGTGGAAATCATAAACATTACGGAAATTTTTATACATTACGGAAAATTTTATACATATGGGCAAATTTTTGGAATTTGGATACTCCGAATTTAATTAATTTGAAGTCGTGAAAATCGTAAATTGGGAATTGAGAATTGGGTTGGGATTTGGGACAATTTTATTATGTTTGGAATCTGGATGGGATTTAAAAGTCGTAATTTAATACATACTACATGGACTGCTTCATCTGCCATTTCCACATGCAAACTTCGAGCATCCGCATCTGAATAGATTGCTACTGTTTTAATACCCATTTTTTTAGCTGTACGAATTACACGAACAGCAATTTCTCCACGATTTGCAATCAATATTTTATCAAAAGTCTGTTGATTGAATTGGGGGTTTTTTTCTTTTATTAGGTTTCTTTCAAAACATACGAATACGCAGTAATTCAACTATATTTACTAAAAACACGCATTTTAATTAAATGCATGAAACAAAACTTTCCTTTCCATAATCTACCGCTTGAGGAGGCCCTTGTATATTAGCATAATATGTTTTAAACGAAGAATGAAAATAGCGAGTCGTATGAACTATTGAAGGGCGATAAAATGCAAAATTTTTCTGGTTGATAATTACTGAATTAGTGGAGAACCATGTCCCGACAGCGCGTACCCGAGCAGTCAATATATTCATTGATTATTAATTTTCTTGTTAAAAAAAAAAAAAAAAAAAAAAAAAATTCGAGAATGAGGTCAATTTAAATGAGTTGAAATCAGCTTTCACGTGTCAATTAAAATAAATTTAAAATTTAAAATTTAAAATTTAACGTTATAGTTCGTCATCTGTATTACTATATTATCGGATGTTATTTAAATCTCCTGATTTTAAAATTGCATAACGATAAAATTACATGATCGTGTAACATACCAATTTTTCACGAACCTTTTTAAACCCAAGAGCCTCATTTGTTCAATTCTCAAATTTGGTCGAATTCACAATGTACAGAGAAACTTTCGCACGTAATTATAAATGTATCTTTTCCACATTTACACGCGTATCGCATATCTATCCCTGTGCGAAATCATTTGGTAGAATTTCTGCATTAACACCAATACGAATTCGAGAATATGCATCTGGCAATACTAAAGAAGAGGTAAATTTGCAATGAATTTTTAATATATTAGTACCAATTTTTTTATAATAATGATTATCATTGTTCAGGAAGTCATGGCACGAATGGAATCCATGCGTGCGAAGGCACATTTGGGAGGCGGCATGAATAGAATTATCACTCAACATAAAAAGGTATTCTAAATTTCGTTACATAATTATTTGATATTTATTAATGAAAATTGATTTATTATTCATCAAGGGCAAGCTAACCGCTCGGGAACGCATTGATTTACTCTTGGATCCGGGATCTTTTCATGAATATGATACTTTTGTAGAACATCAATGTACAGATTTTGGTATGGAAAAAAACAAGGTAGATTGAGACTTTATATAATTAAATCGTATCCATCTGTAATTCTTATATATTTTAAACTCTAGATCATTGGTGATGGTGTAGTTACTGGACATGGCACGATAAATGGCCGAAGAATTTTTGTATTTTCTCAAGACTTTACTGCTTTTGGCGGTAGTTTGTCAAAAATGCATGCCCAAAAGATTTGTAAAATAATGGATAAAGCTGTATTGGTTGGTGCGCCAGTTGTTGGCCTGAATGATTCTGGTGGTGCGCGTATTCAAGAAGGTGTAGATTCCCTTGCTGGATATGCAGACATTTTTCAAAAGAATGTCTTATCATCTGGTGTTGTACCTCAGATATCATTGATCATGGGTCCATGTGCTGGTAAGATTCATTGTTTATTAAAGTTTTCAAAATTAACAACAGCATATCCCGGATATGATGAAATTAAATTACATTTTGTAGGTGGTGCTGTGTACTCTCCAGCTCTTACCGACTTTACCTTCATGGTACGTGACACATCATACTTGTTTGTCACGGGTCCTGATGTAGTCAAGGCAGTTACAAATGAAGATGTGACGCAAGAAGAGCTCGGTGGTGCGAAAGCACATACTGTTAAGTCAGGTATATGTTAATATCTGTCTTATTATTGTAAAAAATGACCCCTTTATTCATGTTTTAACCTCTATGTATTTAAAGGTGTTGCACACAACGCCTTTGAAAATGACATCGAGGCTTTACAGCGGTAAAATTTAGCACAACATATATTATCACATTTCATTTTTTATTAATACAAATATTCGGAACAGCATTCGCGACTTTATGGATTTCTTACCGCTTTCAAATCGAGATCAAGCTCCTATTCGTCACACCGATGACCCCATAACCCGTGAAGACTCATCTCTTAATCATATTATTCCTATTGATTCCACAAAAGCGTATGATGTACGTGATGTTATCATGCGTCTCGTGGATGATACCAACTTTTTTGAAATTATGCCAGACTACGCTAAAAACATTGTCATAGGGTTTGCCCGGATGGGTGGTCAAACTGTTTCTATTGTTGGAAATCAGCCATTAGTATCATCGGGAGTTTTAGATATAAATTCCTCTGTGAAAGGTTCTAGATTTGTTCGATTTTGTGATGCTTTTAACATTCCAATTATCACATTGGTGGACGTACCTGGTTTTCTTCCTGGAACCGCCCAAGAACATAATGGCATTATTCGCCATGGTGCCAAATTACTTTATGCATATGCAGAGGTAAATTCCTAATATCCCAATAATAGTTTGTTCTCGCTTTATAAGTGTATTCTTTTCTAATCCTAATTTTAGGCAACTGTCCCAAAAATCACAATTATCTTGCGAAAAGCATATGGAGGAGCTTATGATGTTATGTCTAGTAAACATCTTCGTGGCGATGTAACTATTTTTTTTATACTGCTTAAATATATAAATAAGAATTATGATTTATACTACAATCATTTTTCAGATAAATTATGCATGGCCAACAGGTGAAATTGCCGTTATGGGAGCAAAGGTAATATCATATAGCATTTCACTATTACTATCATAACTATAGCTTACCAATGTAATTCACCTCGCTAAATCAGGGGGCTGTTGAAATTATATTTCGACATGTTGAAGACCGAACGCAAGCAGAAAAGGAATATATTGGTATGTATTTTAAGTATCTGTGCATATTTATCATGTAAAATACTTATATATAACATTCTTATTATGTAAATATTTTATCTTTAGACAAGGTTTGTAATTATTTCGTATAATATAACACGCTATTTTTGCTTCATTGATTTCTTCAAATTTATTTGTATCTTTAGTTTGCTAATCCGATACCTGCAGCTCAGCGAGGGTATGTTTTTGGACCTTTGGTTTTGAATATATTTTGCACATTTATTTATTTGTCATCAACTTTAATTATTTAGTTTCCTTGATGATGTCATATTACCTTCCACATCACGAAAAAAAATTATCGAGGATTTGGCGGTTTTAAAGCGTAAAAGTTTACCACTTATTTATAAAAAACACGACAATATGCCTCTATAAAAAAGGTTTTATCGTTAAAAACGGTTCATCTCTGCACATGCCATGGAGTTATAATTCTTCGCTTCATTTGATATGAAAAAATAATAATTACTATTTCACTTCCTAGTTCGAACAATAACTTTATCTGATTGTTACACGATGAATTTATTTGATTGTTACACGATAACTTTATCTAAGTTATTTTGTTTCAATTTAAGTGAATTTGAACCTGCTTATATTTTATTCCTACTTACAACATATATACAAAAATCCAATGCATTTGTAACAATCTATTATTATATAGTATATATAGTATGTATCTGAAGTAGCATTTGAACTACTTAGGTATTTAAAGTAGTATTTGATCAGAATTATTATATAAAGATTTAAAGCTTAGAAGTTTAATTTTAATAAAATGCTATTTTAGATACGTATCTAAAGTATAATTACTTTAGATACAATATATATATAGTATATACTGTATATACAATATCTAATTAATAATATATATTAAAGTATTTTAAAACAAAAGTTTTTTTTTTATAATGTTAATTTATAAAAATTTTTTTTTAAACATTGGTGGTACTGTCAGCTTGTTTATTAGGTTCTAAATTTTATAGTACAAATTATATTTATATACATAATTAAATTTTTTTTTTTTTTTTAATATTGAAGGTGAGTATTTGTGACTTAGGTTTTTATTAATAGTATGTTTCAGCTTTGTGATTGTATTATAACAGCCACAAAAGGCAATCATAGGAGGAGTATACAATTAACCACTCATACAACTTTAGTTATTATCTAATTTAAGTAGTCTTCTATACCAGTTATTATATCTAAAACTTATCTGTGAGTCTTTTATTTAAATATTTTGATCTTGTATTTATTTATCTACTTATTTTATCAACTGTTTCAGTTTTTATTAGTGCAAATATATTATGATAATTAGGTCTTTAAAGTGGTTTACTCACATGAAAAATTTTTAATCTTGTATTAAATTTATTAAAGCTTTCTGTTATTTAATTTTTAGCTGATCTAGTATTGTTATAGTTAAGATCAACATTTGCAGTTAAAGTAATTTTTAAACTGCTATACTTTTGTAAAATTTATATAACTCTAGTATATTTTTTTACAACCTTACTAATATCTTGTATATTCTTACAAGTTTTCTTATATTACCAATTTAATTAGTTTTGCATGATAAGTTTCATATTTGATTTAATCAATAATCAGGTTTATGAACTTTTTTATTTAGAGTTCTTGTTTGTACAAATTATTTGCTTCAGGTTTCTTTTTCTGAATCAAGATTTTCACAAATAATATCATTAAAGATTATACTATTTTTCTATTCAAAATTTTCAAATAAAACTTCTTATAAAGTATATATTTTTCGTATTTATTTATATAATATAGTATACTTCTAAAGTTAGTTTTGATACAACTAGAATTATAGAATTATAATTTTAGATATCCAATCAAGTTGACAAAATAGAATTATTTTTCAAAATTTTACTGTTAATAGAATTTAAACTTTGGATCTACTATTTAGAAGATAACAACTTAATTACTATACTAGGATTACTATTTTCTTATAAAATTAATTATTACTAATATTACATATTAGTTATTATGATTTTATTAAACTAACTTTACTTAATTGTTTTTATGATTTTCAAGTTTGTGTTCATTAATTGTAACTAATATATATTGTTAAACTGTTATATAAATAAAGATATTTTTGAGCTTAATATGATATTTCAGTATTAAAAATACTATTTTCTATAATTATATTTATATGTTTTATTATATATTTTATCTAGCTTTGTTTTTTTAATTTTCTAATTTAACTATATCTAGTAATATTTTATTTTTTACATTTTTTATTTTTTTGTTATATTATTTATAAATTAGTTTTATTTAGATATATTTGATTCTTATAATTTTTTTTTTTAAGATTTTTTAATAATGATTTATAATCTACAATAAACCTGTTTCTTAAATCAAATCTATTATTATTATTAGTCTTTTGATTAATTTATATCTTAAATCAAATTTGTTATTTTTTTTGACATTAAGGTGAAGTCTTATTTCTATTGTTATTTATAATTATTAAGTAATAACTATATAGAGTTACTAAATACAAAAAGAAGTTCTATATATATTATAACTAAGATTAATAATTACAATTAGAATTAATCATTAAACTACTAACTATAAAACTATAATTCTAAGTATTAAAAATGTTATATATAAGAATAAGAGCTCAGCTATATTTATTTATAATTTAAACCTACTAGAATAGCTAAGACTTACTTAGATTAGTTAAACTTTTTCAAATAATATTCATTACTCTAATATATACTAGTAAGTTACTTATAGATTTTACTAACTATTTACATTATCAAAAGTTAATTATATTATTATAAAAAAAAGAAAACAAAAATAAAATAGATAAGAAATAAAGTATAATTAAAAGGATAAAAAATAGTATTAATTAAATAAACAAATCTATAAAGAAAGTTAATAAAATTATAAGAATATAGCTAAAAAATAGTATAAATTAAATAGATAAATAAATAAGAAAAAGTTAACATAAATGTATAAATATAACTAGAAAAAAAGGCTAGTATTAAGTTTATTGATAATTTTAGATATATTGTAGATATAAATAAAATTAGTTTCAAATATTATAAATATAACAATATTAAGTTTTTTAATAATATATTGGTTTGCTTAATTGAAATATGACTTGTTAAGATTTTTTTAAACTAAATAATAGTTGGTTTAAAGATTTAAATAAGATTATAATAGACAATAATTTTAATTAGAATTTGTAGATCACTTGTTAGAGAAAAGATTTTATTTAATGCTTTTTAAAATTAAAATTAATAATTTTGTTATTTGTTATTGCAGATTTAAAGTAAGCTTTAAGATAACAATAAAAGAAATAAAATATATATTTTAAATTAGTAAATGTATTATTTAGATGGATAAAGTTTTGTTCAGATTGATTAGCTAAGTTATAAAGATTTTTGTAAAGTAAAGATGTATAAAAAGTTACTAAGAAAAATTTAAAGATAAATATATATATATTGTTGGATAGATATAGTATTAAAAGATTATTTAAAATAATAAGAAATTAGATGATAGATATTATAAATTGTTTTTAAATTAAGAATTTTATATTTTTTAGATTAGTACAAGTATATATGTAATATATTATTATTTTAGTAACATAGTTTGTTCAGTCTTGAATTAATCAAATAGTTAGTAGTTCAGATTTTTGAAGGATTAGTATTTTGTATTCATTATTAGTTGATATTATTATTTAGTATTTAATATAGTTGTAAACTTTTTGTTTATTAATATTACTAAATTGTTTTTTTGTAGTATATAAAAAATATTTGAAACTAAATATCAAATTGTAGTTTGATTAAACAAAAAAATAAAATACAATACAGTTCTTCTTCTATATAATTACATGGTTGAACATATAGTAATTTTTTTAAAAAAAATATACTTATAAAGAAGTTATGTTTATATAAAGAGCTATTTTTTATAAATTAAATTATAACTTAGCCTAAACATAAATATTATTATATATGATATGATTATATAACTATAGTTTGTAGTAAATTCTTAAAGAATAATATTTATAATAATATTAATATAAAATTTGAAGATATTATTAATTTATAAAGTAGAAAGGTTAGAAAGATTGCTTTTTAGAATATTTAAAATGTAATTTATATAAATAAAAATTTTTAAATAGATAAGTTTTAAGTTGTAACTTATAAAAAATTTTTAATAATCAATAGTTTGGTCTTTGTTATATAAAAATAGATAAAATCTAATAAGATTTATAACAATTTAAAATTATTTTTTAATTGAGTAAAAAGAGATAAAATAGTATGAGTTAAAGAGTTGTTTGTAATTTGTTTTATAAAAAAATATAGATAAATTTAGTAACCAATTTTATGTTATATTAAGAAGTATTTTGAAGAATAGTTTGACTGCTTTAGTAAATTCTTGTTTAAAATTATGTTTGTAATAAATATAGATTTTTTGATTGCTATAGTTTAAATTAATAAATTAAATTGTTTTTTACAATTAGTTTATTAATTATTATAAAATTAATAATTGAACTAAAGTAGAAATTTTTAAGAATTAGTTTCAAGAAGTTTTTTAAGATAGAGTAGTTTTTGAACCAATCTAAAAGATAATATTATTGGATTGTAGTTTGTAGATTTATTTTAAGATTATAAATAATATTAATAATAAAAAAAATATTTAAAATTATAAATAGTTTAGAACAAAAATATAAAAGAGACTTTTTGAATAATTTATAATATAGATAAAGTGTATTATGATATAAATAACAAAAAAATTAAATGAAAATAATAAGAATTAAGCAAGAAAATTAAAATTTTAAAATTATTAGTAAATTTTCAGAAAGATAGTAAATTTTTTAAATTTTTTTAAAAAAATTTAAAAAAATATTAGGTATTTTAATATTTTAAAATTAGTAAAAAGTAAAATTTCTAAAACAATCTAATAAAATTTTGAAATTAACTAATAAAGTTTTAGAAAAGAGTTTGAATAAGATTTTGAAAAGAAATATAAATAACTTGATGAGTTTTGGTTTGTTAAAGATGAAATTTATATTAAAATAATTGTTTCAGTGAATTGAATAATTTTATTTGATAAATTTATTTAATAAAATTAGATAGAAATTAAGAAAGTATATTTTTTAAAAAATGTTAATTTGTATATAATATAATAATTAGAATTTGTAAATTTAGGTTACAAATAAAGTTGTCTGAACTTTAATTTTTATATATAATTTTTATTTTGTATTTTTTTCACTTAGGTAGTCACATTGATAGTTTTTTTATTAAGAAAATATTAAGACTACTTCTAATACTATATGCTTAATTTCAAAGTTCTAACTCTTTTAACTACTTTTAAAAGTACCTAAGAGTAACCTATCACACTAGGCTATAACAAGTTATTATTTGAAA